CTTCAACGCTAAGATTGGACAACGACTTGGAAAACCGAAAACTATCTAGGACAATTCGCCTTTGGAGTTAGAAATGAGAGAGGAGAAACCTTGTTAACTTCCTACAAACCCACAAATACTATGCAATGAACACATTCTATAACAAAAAGCATCAAAGAAAGTGGATGTGGCTATTCCCAGACGTAAACTCGGAACGAAATACATTACATACTGTGTAACAAAACAAGTATCATATATGACGTAACAGTAATAAAATACGGCGTCAGTAAGTAGCGATAACCGCAAGAAGACCGTATAGAACAAGTCATAGAGAAAAACCGAAGTCTCAAATGCACCAAACCGAAACTAGGAAAGAAAAACATAATAACCAATAAAAGTAAACAAGGACAACTAGAAAAAAGTAAATCTGATATAGCAAACTCAATTCAAAAATTCTACGCCGATCTGTATCGTTCCAGAAATGATCCCCCTAACTCCTCAAAGCAGAACTTGAAAAAGCAGATAACTATCAACTCAGAAGGAAGACTGCAAATGCACTGGAGCGACGATATTAAAAGATCTGCAGGACCAATGTTGAAACGTCTTACAAACAACAGAGATGAATGGCGAGATTTAGAAGAGGCTTATATTCGGCAATCCGAATGTTAAAAAGTAGGCACACAAACAAGGCATTGCGTTTCGACTCCTTCTTACAACCCTCCTTAAACGTGATGCAGAATGCGATATGTTGACTTCAAACATGACTGCTGACCCAGAGATCTACTTAACGTGGAATTTGGCCTCGGAATAAGGCGGCTTATCGAGTTGTCTGAGACCAATAGATGGTCTGCAGACTCCCTTTCTCACGAACATTTCGTCTTCAGCAAACTGAGCTGGATTTTGACGAAGGTAAGAAACATTTGGAACTGAACCAAATACGGAGAACTGAAGTACAGTATGTAATATAATACATATCAAGTCATATTATCAAAATTGGGTCATAAATAAAAAAGGGATTGAAAATCAAAATGTGTTAATATTTTAGACACGCCTGTACATATTTATTCTGCGCATGGCGAATTAAAATAAGTACGAGAAATTTAATTGATAATTAAAAATCTATTACGTGACTTAAAATAGTACAGTTATATTAAAAAAAAAGGATACAAGTATTAGAAAGGGAAGTTAACGTCATCCTATTTGTGTAAAACCGGCTAGGATTTTTGGAGGTTATCAAATGTCATCTTCTTCTTCAAGTGCCGTCTTCGTTCCGAAGTTTGGCTATCATCAAAGATATGCGTATTTTTGATGCTGTAGATCTAAACAGTTGGTAATTGGTGCAATTGTACCATTCTCTTAAGTTTTTCAACCATGAATGCCTTCTTCTTCCTATAGATCTCTTTCCCATTATCTTTCCCTGTATAATCAATTGCAGCAACTGGTATTTATCTCCCCTCATAACATGTCTCAAATATTGTAGTTTGCGCTTTTTAACAGTAAGTATCAGCTTTTTCTCTTTCCGCACTCTTCGCAAAACCTCCACATTTGTTACTTTCTCTGTCCAGGGTATTCTTAATATTCTACGATACATCCACAACTCAAATGCTTCTATCTTTTTGGTATCGATCTTTTTCAATGTCCATGTTTCCATCCCGTAGAGGAGAACTGACATAACGTAACATCTCAAAAGGCGAATTTTAAGTTTTAGACTTAGATCTCTTCCGCAGAACACCTTTTTCAATTTAGTAAATGTGGTTCTAGCTTTCTCTATTCTGGTTCTGATTTCTTCAGAGCAATCATTATTTTCGTTGATAACAGTTCCCAGGTAATTATATCTTCTTACACGTTCGATTCTTTGATCATGCACGGTTATGTCAGGGAAGTTTTGTGGTGATTTAGATATTAGCATTATTTTTGTTTTGCTTATGTTAAGTGATAATCCGTGTTCTTCACTGCATTCTACTATTTTGTTAATTAGTATTTGAAGATCTTCCCAAGTTTCTGCGATTAGTACCGTGTCATCGGCATATCTCAAGTTGTTTATTCGGATGCCATTTATCTTAATACCTATATTTTGATCCGAAAGTGCTTTGTTTATAATGTCTTCGGAGTATAGATTGAATAAGGTCGGTGAGAGTATACAACCCTGTCTTACGCCTTTCTTGATCTCGATTTCCTCCGTTGTCTCTTGCTCTATTCGGATATTTGCTTTCTGGTTATAGTAAATCTTAGAGATAATTCAAATGTCCCTTTTATACAAGTTTTTTTCTACTAGCAGTTCAAATGTCATAAGTGATCAAAAATGCAACTCATAGACGTCAAAGACGTTTAATTTGATAGAAGGTTTAACGTTACGTACAATACAAAATGTATATGCCTCGTCATTTAAGTGAGATTGAAAAGGCTCAAATAATTACGAAAATGGAAGAAGGATGGTCAATTCGTGCGCTAGCAAATTTCTATAATAGAAATTTGAAAACAATCTTCAGAATTAAGCAACGATGGGTGCAATAACAATCATTAAAAAGAAAAGTTGGTTCAGGGCGTTCCAAAGTATCCACTCCTCAACAAGATGCTGCTTTAGTTCAATTCTTAAGAGATAATCCATTTGCGACGTCGAAAGATTCAAGGATTCATACGGGATTTCCTGGTGCCCAACCTACTGTAAGCAGAAGGATCAATGAATCTGAATTAAAAAACCGACCAGCTGCTAAAAAACCATTAGTAACTGTTGAACATCGGCAAGCAAGAGTAATATTTGCACTAAACTATATTTACCGCAACCCACAATTTTGGAACAACGTCATTTTTACTGATGAAAAGACTTTTCAATCGACCTGTAACGTCAAATCCGTGTTTATCGTCCAGCCAATACTAGGTTTGAAGAACGATATATTCACTCTCATAATAAATCTGGACGTTTTTTCTGTAAATGTATGGGGTTGGATTAGTATACATGGACCTGGTGTTTGTTGGCGATTAGAGGGAAGATTTACTGCCGACAATTACATTAACCTATGAATATATAACCTATGAATAGCTCTTCTGATGAGACCTATTAGGTCGAAATACGTATCAAGAGATACATAGGATTTGTTTGCGTGAAATCAAATATTTGCTGCCTTTTCTCATTTTATTCGGATTTACTCTGTGTGAGTACAAGAAGCACAATTTGCTAAGGATTTCTGCTTAGTTGTAAAAGACATGTCGTGGAATGCAAATTTTAGATTCCCCATGTCTCTTTTAACATCTTTTATCAACGTCTGATTGCCTTGCAATTTTTAGAAGGCTCAGATTATAAAGCAGAAATCTGAATTGTGTTTCGAAACTAGTTTACGATTGTTGTAATTAGATGTCGCTACTGCGTCCGTATTGAAGCCATGTTATTGTTGCTTCTTAAAAGGCAAAAAATATTGATTTTTCACGTTGAGAAGCCCTATGAATAGCTCTTCTGATGAGACCTATTAGGTCGATATACGTATCAAGAGATACATAGGATTTGTTTGCGTGAAATCAAATATTTGCTGCCTTTTCTCATTTTATTCGGATTTACTCTGTGTGAGTACAAGAAGCACAATTCGCTAAGGATTTCTGCTTAGTTGTAAAAGACATGTCGTGGAATGCAAATTTTAGATTCCCCATGTCTCTTTTAACATCTTTTATCAACGTCTGATTGCCTTGCAATTTTTAGAAGGCTCAGATTATAAAGCAGAAATCTGAATTGTGTTTCGAAACTAGTTTACGATTGTTGTAATTAGATGTCGCTACTGCGTCCGTATTGAAGCCATGTTATTGTTGCTTCTTAAAAGGCAGAAAATATTGATTTTTCACGTTGAGAAGCCCTATGAATAGCTCTTCTGATGAAACCTATTAGGTCGAAATACGTATCAAGAGATACATAGGATTTGTTTGCGTGAAATCAAATATTTGCTGCCTTTTCTCAAATTACATTAACGTTTTGGAACACGTAATGCTCCCTTCTATTGAGCAATTGTATCCTAATAATACTTTTATATATCAACAAGATAATTGTTCGGTCCACACTGCCCATGCCGTAAGGAATTGGTTTCAAACGCAAAACCTGGAAGTATTGCCATGGCCTGCGCACAGTCCAGATATAAATCCAATTGAAAACATTTGGGGCATAATTGTTAAAAAAATATATAAAAGAAATTTTATGCCACAAAATTCAGATCAATTGGGGGATACAATCTTAGAGTGCTGGGAAGATCTTGATACAAATATGATATCTAATATAATTCAAAGTATGCCAAATAGATTAAGTAAAGTTATAGAAGCAGACGGTTCTATCACCAAATACTAAATTCTATCTGTAACAGTCATTAAAATTATTCTTTATATAATTGTTGAATAAATGGATTCGTCTAATTAATGCTCAACGCCAATGATTTATATTTTTAATAACCTGTAACATTTGATAACCTCCAAAAATCCCAGCCGGTTTTACACAAATAGGATGACGTTAACTTCTCTTTCTAATACTTGTACCCTTTTTTTTAATATAACTGTACTTATATCGCTAATTGGGCACTTTTAGTAAAATATAATTGATAAATAAATAGAATACACTTGTTCGAAGTCAAAATTTCCGTAGAATGGCCCATTTACAAATATCTAGTGTATATTTTTACGTATTTTCTTCACTCTATATCGCCCTACAACGGCTAATCACTCATTGAGCTTGTATGTCTATTAAAAATCATTGCACGCAATCTCAAAAACTACCAATCAAATCCACTATCCGCAATATATCTTTAAATAACTCCAAAAATATACATATTAAGCTATAGCTTCACCAATACTGTCTGTAAACCAAGACACGATTCATATAAACCGTCCAGGGTGGTCCTAGTTATTCCGCTAACTATTGAGCATTTTTTGGGCAAGAAGAAAGCTGCCCAATTACAGCAGCTCATACTACGAATGAAATACCGACATCTGTGTTATTTAAAAAAAGTGTTTTCTTTTGGTAATTATTAGCTTTTCAAAACTATTGAAAAATATTAACACTACATCTTTATTACAACGAACATTCGTCGCCAAATCTATTATTACAGTAAATAATATATCACAATTCTAATACCATCGGTTAAATCTTTTAAACATTTGTTCAAATATTAAATTAGCAGTATGAGTTACTATAAGGGCCTTTAAAGCTATTTTTCAAGTCAGAGGAGAGCAAATCAAATAAAAGCATGGACCAGCCGTCGGTTATTAGTCGTTCAAGACTATTAACTCCAAATCACCACTGTCACTTTAGACTCTAGTCTCTATATCATCACTTAATCTGTCGAACTCATCCCTACTCCTCAGATCTATCCTCCTATGCCTACTGTCATTAATAAACGAGTTAATTTCTGAATCCGACAAACACGGACTGTCCCTAGAAGGCGTATACACTTGCCTATATCTCTTCGACTGTGGACCTCTTCTGATTTGTTGATACAATTCATCCAAGTCGCTAACCGAAACACTACTTGCCCTGCTTTGGCCGTCTCCTTTGCCTAATCTCAAGTCTTGGGGATTTACATAGATTCTAGGAGTGGAAGCGCCACCTACCGATGACGTATCGAGGCCACTAAAGTTACAACTGGCAGACTGACCAACGGTGCCGGATTTTTGGAAATATTCGTCTCTGGGAGGTAAGTCGGCGATTTGGCAGTAGTTTGGATCGTTTTCCGTTAGGATGCTGAGAGGGCTGTTTTCTCTCCTAAGAGACTCAACTGGTTCACTCGTTTCCGTAGTATTAAAACTCTCTTGATTTGGCAGTAGTGTTTTGTCGGGACTAGTTTTGTCTAAGATAGAATCTGAAATAGTTTCTGAGCTATAATCTAAGGTACACTGTTGAGACACGGAATGCATGTTATTTTCTGTAGTGTTATGTTTCTTTCTGCTTCTATTCCTAGATAGCTCTTTTTTTCGAAGTCTTTCAGCATGTATGACGATATTTTCTACGGGAATATTACTTTCCGAATCAAAATCGTCAGCACTGTCGGAGAATATATTAGGATTCTTTTGCTGTATTCGGTGTTTATGTTCAACGTGTATATTCGTATTGTTTACCTTAGAATTGGTCCCGAAAATGTTCTGTTCACTGTTATTTTTGATTTTGAGCTTCGGTTCTGAGAACACCGAAGCAGTATCGCTGTTTATATCCCTAGGAGGTTTGGCCAAATTATTCTTCTTCATCATATTCCTCCTTTGTCGTTTAAAGAACTTCCTAGCCACTGTACTTTGGTGGGGGTTGTAGAAAACATCAGCGTTGGTGGGATTTTCTATAATATTAGGAATAATACTGTTCCTATACTGCGCTCGGTGTAACACTACTAGATTAACGTTGTTAATCTTAGCTCCTTGATGGTCACTGAAGCTTTCGTTAAGGTCCACTGCTCCTTTGAGTATATTGCTATTCCTAGAGTTAGTTTTTGAGTGACTGGAAGTCCGGCTCGTTGACCTAGAGATGATCTGCGCCTCGAGATTGCTGACAGGAGGCAAAGGCAGCGGTTGTACTTGGATCTGAGGAATATTAGGAACAGTGTCTGATATATTTCTTGATCTAACCTTGCACATACGCTTACGCTTCATCCATCTGGACATTATAACCCACTGCGTCCTAACATCATTTCTTGCAACACAATAAAAGAAGAGCGTAAATGCACTGAGGGTTGTTGCTAATATAGCAAATGCTATACTGAACAGATCTTCCTCGAAAGAAAATATGTGAAACGGTGATTCTGTGGCAAATGCACAACTTAACCACGTCATGATGTATATAATCAAAAATATGACATAGGCTTTTAGTTGGGCCGATGGAGCATGCTCTGGGTCTTCTATTTCGCTAGAACCAGTCTTGGTCGATATACTTCTAGTTTCCACATGAGGAAAATTCGGTTCGGGTTCTAGTAAATCCAAATCAACGTGTTCTGTAGCTTGTGTGCCTTCACTTAAGTGACCATTGGCGTCCAAATTGTAAATAGCGCATCGTATCAACAGGAAGAATATAATCAGGAAGACAGTAAAGATTATACATGGCACATAAAGGGCGCTTAGAGCTGGACCTGATTTGAGGAAGCAATAACTAGATGAAGCGTACTCGTTCATGTTTATAGCAGCTGAAAGTCCGCATATGATCAAACCGATGCCCCAACCTACAAGATACAAACCTAAAATAGGTTTCTGTATTGGATAGTCTGATGGTAAATCGTCATCTTGGAGTCCTATAATATCGTTCTTGCTTAGTCTCTTGTACATACAGTTTACACCAACACACATCCAAAGCAACGAACATAGAGTGAAATAATGTAAAATCATGCCAACAATTTGACAAACTTTAGTATCCTCAGTTTGATAAATACCAAATATGTACAGAAAAGTTAGTAAAGATATAGATATCCACGTGTTAATTAAAGAATGCTTCGTTTTCTTAGGTATTTGTATAGTGACATAGCAAAGAAGATACGTCAAAATAACTATCAAAAACGAAGTAAACAAAACAAAAACACCTACGTACACCGCTGGATGACTTAGCTTGAATTTGGCACTGACGTGTTCCTCCAGCATGGTGACGTCTTGGAGAAGTCCGTAATAACCGAAACTGTCGCACGAGAATACCAGATACTCCTGTATATCGTGAGAAAACTTACAGCCGTCGGAACTCCAGTTTCCCGTTCCGTTGTTAGCGGCTGCATCCCACCAAACTGGCATAAACGGGGTCACGTCGTAGATGGTCGTCGATGGCGTCCGCAGCATCACGTAAACTGGATCTGTTAGATTCCGCACGACGTAATCAACTGAAAATATAATTTCTATCACATTTATAGACTATTATATTACCTACCAAAATTACTTAGTTACATGCAATTGAACCCTTTCACTCTTAGAATAGAATAGAATAGAAATATACTTTATTGTCACTGAAAATTATTGAACAATTTTATAGACAAAGCTAAAAAATAAATCAGTCAAATAGTACAAAAAGTATAAAACAAAAACAAATATAGTAAAAAACAGAATAACACAATTTTAAATTAGTAAAATTATTGTATAACCTACATAATTTGTACAGACAACAACAAATGAGACAAATTGTAGCCACTGCTTGAGACACCCAAATGTAATTATAAACAATACTAATTTTGTTTCTTTGTTATACATTAAGAAACTCGTCAACTGAATAATATGGTTTTTCTGAGAGATAGATTTTTGTCACCTTACGAAACTTAATGAAGGATGTTGCGGATTTAATTTCTCTTGGAAGGTGATTATAAAGTTTCTTTGCACGATATAGAATAGAATTCTTTACTAGCTGAGTGGACGGGATCGGCAAATAAACGTTACAATCCGAATTTCTAATGGAGTAGCCATGGTCAGGTCTATCGGGAAAAATGTTTAGATGCTTTCGAATCAAACAAACCGTTTCCAAAATAAATAAAGAGGGAAGCGTCAAAATTCCGTGATTTTTGAAGTAGGTCTTGCAATGAGTTGTTTGTTTGAGACCAAATAGATAACGGATTGCTCTTTTTTGCAACTTAAAAATAGTATCAAATTGGGCCGCTGTACTAGAACCCCAAAATGGAAGCCCATATCGAAGATGGGACTCGAACAATGAGAAATATGCCATTTTGGCAGAAGATAAATTTAGTTCCTTCGAAACAGATCTTATTGCAAAGCAAGCTGAGGCTAGTTTCTTCCTTAAGGAGTCAGTATGCAAGGACCATTTGAGATCACTGTCAATGAGAATACCTAGAAATTTCACGGAATTTACGATATTGATTTGGCTCTCATTCAAAAGCAAGGGTTGCATGACTCCTTTATAAGATAATGCTACAGTCTTATCCACGTTAAAGCTAAGTAAGTTGGAGTCTGACCAAGCCTTGATTATAAGTAAATCAGCGGTTATAATTGAATGAAGCCTTGAAATATCAGAGCTGCTCCAAGTAATACTGGTATCATCAGCAAATAGAAAAATTTTCCCTTTAATTTTCAAGTAAGTGATGTCATTAATGAAAAGTAAAAAAAGAATGGGACCTAATACTGAACCTTGCGGTACTCCACACTCAATATCTTTACAACTAGAGTCGGTGTCATTTATTCTAACCAATTGTTTCCTACCTACCAAGTAAGTTTTGAACCAGTTCAAAGACACACCCCGAATTCCATAGAAAGTTAATTTTTTTAATAGAATGTCGTGATTTACGCAGTCAAAGGCTTTGGAATAGTCGCAGAAAACGGTGGCGGAGGAGAGGTTACTGTTTAGTGATAGATATACATCATGTAACACAGAAAATATGGCATCACTAGTGCATTTATTAGACAAAAAGCCGAACTGATTTTGCGATAAAATATTATATTTAAGGAGAAAGGGCATAAGTCGAACTTTTATAAGTCTTTCAATAATTTTTGATAGTGCTGGTAACAAGGCAATAGGTCTATAGTTGCAGGCATCAGATTTTTCTCCACCTTTATGAAGAGGAATGACGATGGCAGTCTTTAGGCAGTTAGGGAATGTACCTTTTTCAAGGGAATCATTTACTAACGAGACCATGACCTCCAAAACATTATGCGGTAGATTTGAGAAAATTTTAATAGATAATCCATCTGTACTACAGGACGATGTGCTTTTTATACTACGAATTGTTGAAATGGGTTCCGTCTTATCAACTGGTCTTAAAAAGAAGGTATCAGCAATGTTTTTTGAATTAGAGAGATAGGAAACTGGATCTTGTTGTGGCGAAATAGTTGAGGTTATATTTTTACTCACATTAACAAAGTAATCATTTAGATTTTCGGGGTTAGGAAAAGAAAAGGTTTGATTCGCTGTACTGGTTTTATTTCGAAAATCGTTTATTATTGACCAAGTTTCTTTTGAAATATTTTTGGAGCTTGTTAAGCGATTATGAAAGTAGGATTTTTTGGCTACTTTGAGTAGTTTTATATAGCATTTTCTGTACTTGTTGATATAATCAGAGATGGGGATACTGTCATTAAATTTTTTAATATATAGCAGAGAACGCATATTTTTCGCAGATATGCGAATGCCTTTGGTAATCCAAGGTTTGTTATGTTTTGGCCTGATGTTTAATAGAGGAAATGCTTTATTAAAAATAGATACAAGTCTATTTAGAAAATCACTAACATTACAGTCAATGTCCCCAGAAGAAAAACTCCAGTCAGAAGTCAAGCATGAATTATAGAATTTACGAAAGTTTTGAGTGGAAAAAATCCTACCTAATCGTCGGGTTTTTGAGTGAGGTGTTTGTAAACTGCTAAACTTGGTATATACCGCTTCGTGATCAGAAAGCCCCCCACTAATAACTGTAGAATGGACGTCAGCGGGTGGAAAATCGAAAACCACATAATCAATTGTCGAGGATGATGTTTTTGAGATTCTTTTTGGAGAATTAACGTGCATTGTGAGACCATATGATTCAAAAATAGTTACCAAAGACAGTTGGGTCGCACAAACAGCACAAACAGCATCTTGATTTATTTATTTTAAAATTTGATATTTGTATGTAGTTTGTTGTTCTAGAGCATTTAAAAGAACTAAGAATTTATTAAAAAAAATTTATTTTTCATTTTTTTTTTTTTTTTGGTAAAAAATGCATGAGATTATATATCCCAACAGTATTTTTGTATGGGATATATAATCCCAACAGTATACATAAACGATAAATGTTTATACATGATATGGGTTAAAACAATCGCTATATAAGGGAACATCACACATTTTACAAATAAATTCCAGACGAATACTTCAAAACGACACTCCACAAGGATCTACTCTAAGTCCCACTCCCGTTCTAATTGCAATAAATAGTATTATACATCAAATAAAACTACCTGTATTTACTAGCCTATATGCAGATGACTTAGTCATTTATCTAAAAACAAACGATGTAACTCTGGGAACACATATACTGCAAACTACATTACGCACAATTGAAAGCTGGTCGCAAAACACGGGTTTTATATTCTCTAGTGAAAGGACACGTTATTTAATTTTTAGAAAAGAAAAAATTATCCTAATGTACAATTAACACTAAATGGAGTTGTTCTGAAATAAGCAGAAGAAATAAATTTCTTAGGAGTTTCTTTTGAACGTAACTTAAACTGGGAAACCCACATCACCAATCTGCAACGTTCTTGTCAATCCAGAATTAATCTACTAAAAATGCTGTCAAATACATCTTGGGGGGCAGATACAACAACCTTACTTACTCTATACAGATCACTAATACGAAGTAAACTAGACTACGGCTGTTGATGCAACGATACTGCTAACAAAACATCTTTAAAAAAACTTAACTAATTCAAAATATGTGCTTGAGATTAGTTTTAGGTGCCAAAAGAACTAGTCCAGTAAGTAGCTTACAAGCTCTGGCTAATGAACTGCCCTTAAGCCGAAGGCAACTCCTATCACTAAATTACGTTGCCAGAACAACAGCAACGTAACCTACTCAACAATACTTTGCAGAACAAATATATCGTCCGATCTGTACAGAAACATTGCAATAAAAAAACTACCATTTCCTGAACGAGTAAAACGTATTGGTCGGATAAACACAGTTCAGTCTTACTATGCCTATTCATGTAAATGTTTCTCCTTGGATGATCAAACCTCCAAAAATAGACACGTCTCTAAAAGAACTCCCGAAACATTCCACACTTCCTTTCCTTATACAGCAAGCTTATAAAAATGTAATATCCAAATACCCAACAACCATCAAATCTCACTGATGCTTTCAAATGTGATGAAGGACATGCGCAGCCTACATCTACGAAAACGTCAAGTCTACCATACGAATCCCAACAAATTGTTGTATATATACCGGAGAAATTACGGCTATTCATCAGGTAATGAAAAAATGAGGTTCTACCAATGAAAGCAAATTTGTTATCATCACCGATTCAATGAACGCATTACTTAATAACATAATAATATAATAATATACAGCTATATACAATTCACGCCATACTTCTCAAGATCAAAGAAGAGTTATCTTACCTACATACTCAACAAAAAGATATTTCCTTCATCTGGATACCTTCCCATATGGGAATAAATGGTAATGAGAAAGTGGACTCTCTGGCAAGCAATGCAACCACCGACCAAAGTATTGCTATCATAAATCAAATGCCTTGGACTGATCACAGAGTAAATATCAAAGCCCACATAATATTAATTATGTGGGCTAATATTATTATTAATACCACTTAATCTTTTATAATTAACAATCAGCAACCAAAATTGTCCTTACGCCAACAGAAATATGTTATCAACACAGTTTTATATGATCGTACTTACAACGTGTTCACATTACACTAAATTTTAGGTTAAAATTTGATGTTGACGGTGGATACTCGATGTTTTGACAGATGTACAGCTGTTTAGTACAATTTCCTTGGGTATAGCCACAGCCACCTTTACTTCCAAGCCATGAAGTAGAAATTTGGCAACAACGCGTGGTAGTCCGACCGTAGTTTGTTTTGTTTAACATTTCATATAGCAAGGCTTGTAAAGTTAGTCGAATTTAGTGTTTTTTTAACTTTATTCGAATGTTTTATTTGTAAATTGTGTTTAAATCAATTAGAAAATATTAATATAAGTGAAATTTCATTAAGTTTAGAACTTTTAGAAGATTCTTAACGACAATTTAAAAGGCAAGTATAAATATAACCTACAAAACAAACTGAAAATAATAATACTTTTGCTTCTTGTTACAAAATAAGTAAACTAAAAACAACAATAATAATACTTTTGTTTTTTGTTACAGATGCCCTGGCATTGCTGTGTACCTGGTTGCAAAACCAATTATGCCAGTACTTTAAAAACGAAACAGGCAGAAAGTACGTTTTCGTTTCCCAAAGATCCCCAAAGAAGGTATACTGGGTTATGCTCTATTCATAGAGAAGGCTATACAATTACCAAATCTTCCGTAGTATGTGCCAAACATTTTCATGAAGATGATATTCAGCGGACTGAACAATGAGAAGATAAAGATGGAAATGTACACATTGAAAAGTTAATATTTCCCAAATTAAAAGACAATGCAGTTCCTAATATATTTCCTGAAGTACCATCATATGTAACTGTTCATCGTACTAAAGAAAGAAGGAATCCCGAAGACAGAAGAATCTTTTTGCATAAGAAGAGGGAACAAGAGATAACAGAATTCTTAGACAATGATTTAATAGATTCATTTGAGTCATTTTTAAGAGACTTAGACAATAATATCCCATTGAAAAACTGGACAAGTAAAATTACAAGTGACTGTGTATATTTCTATGTATTAAAGATTAATCAGTTGGGACACAAGTGTGATAATATTTGTGTAATAAGTAGTGTAATAGTTAGCAGTAATTTTAGTGTAATCGTCAATGTAGGTAAGAATAGATTAAGTAGTAATGATTTGAAATGGATTTTACAATATAGTAAATTAACAAGATGGTCACAATTAGAGAACTTACTTTCTCATTTAGATCTGTTTTTTAGATAAGTGATAACAAATTTGAGTATTACATTCAAAAATCTTTTGAGAATATAGGCTATTTTAAATCGATATACAAGTTATAAATGGTATGTTACATTCAACACATTTTTCATGTATAACTCTTTTAACTTGGTCTATATGACAAAAAACCTATTCATATTTAAAATTGCTACTTTCGTATACCTAAGTATGAAAATTCAACAAAAGTTATAAGTAAATAGTAAAATATTTAATTTTCAATTAGATTAATTTAGAACCATATTTATATTGTGTCTGATTTCTTAGGATGATTTTTTTAATCATAATAGTTACACTAAGTTTTTACTTAACAAATTTTATATCTTTTGTATTTTTAATAATCTTTTTAAATGTCGTGTTAATGTATTGTGTTATTTATATGCTTAAGTACTTAATATTTAAAATTGCTAGAGATTCTTGACTGCATTTGATTGTAAGATTAACTGTTTGACACTGTATTTTAAGTGCAATAAATTTTACTCTAGTGATTATTTTATTGATAATATAACCTTAATAATAATAAAACTATATATATATATATATATATATATATATATATAATATATATATATATATATATATATATATTAGGTATATATTAGGTTTTATGAATTTAATTTGACTAAAAATATTTCTGTAATGAATTGAAGTTTTCAAATTATCAGTTTCCTAAAATTCAAATTAGTTTAATTTTCTGGTAGACCTTACAGCTGATTATCGGACTACCGACGTCATAGAATGCGGTGTTGCCTTTTTTACTTCATGGCTTGTAAGTAAAGGTGGCTGTGGTATAGCTTAAACCAGGTGTTCATTATTACTAATTGTTTTGCTTCCGCAAAAATCTCCAATGTATCTCCCCGATCGTTTCGGTTTCCTAATCCAAATGGTTCAATTGCGCATGATGTTTTGCTGGCCCCAACTTTGTCACCCATGAAATTGTTAGGTCTTGCTTTTTCAAATTTTTACGCCTTGATTAATGTTATGGTATAGTTCTTCTAGCCCTTCTTCTGTTCCTTCTGTTGTAGGTACACACATTTGAATTATATTGATGTCAATTGGTCTTGTTTTCAGTTGTATGAGCATCACTCTTGCTGAGATTGGGATGAAGTTGCCAACAGATTTTGCCACTTGAACATGTCACTTCAACCATGAACTCTACCAACTGTTCAAAGAGTCACAGATCTCAGAATACGTTAAACTTCAGAGACTTCTATAGGCTGGTCATGTAGTGAGAATGGAGACCGAAAGATTGCCAAAAAGAACCCTAGATAGTAAAATTGAGGGCGCAAGACCAAAAGGGAGGCCACAGAAGCGCACAATTTGCTATACGTGAGAACCTGGAGAAGATCGGTTAAAGGTTGAAGGCATAGTTTGGAGGAGGCTAATGCTCAGAATTGGGCTGTAGCGCCATTGGAGAGAAACAAATTTTCTCAAACAAATTCAATTATATGAGAAGCAACAGTGGGAATTGTAAATGGTAGATTTGATCGTCCAGCGCATTCAGATTTCTACTTGTGACGATTTTGGACCAAAAAAATGTAATATCATATATTTAGTTGAAGTCACTTACCTAGTTGTACTCCTACGACGGCGGAAGTCACATCTTCTTTCCCATATCTCTTCTGATCCATAGAGAACAGCTTGCTACTAGAGTGTATCGCGACCAGTAGGTCATACTCATTGTTCGTCAAGTTTTCTTTCTTCTGCAATTGTTTAAAAAGACTTTCCGGTATGGTTACGGAAGCATCGGTGGTCTTCCCTTGATAACTCGATGTTTCTTGATAACTTTGGTGGTTCGACGCGCACGAAAATAACGAATCTTTCCTGTTGTTCGGATTTGTGTATAAGGTGCAGGTGAGACCTTGAAAGCCTTCTTTTTTAACTTGAAATATTTCTATAGCCAAATTGTTCTGAAAAGGAACGATTTTTCTATAATCGTATCGATCTATTATATTCTTAAATATATGCCAAAAAGATACACAAAATGAAATTTGCTAAATTAAAATCGGTTAATACACAAAAAAGTTACTGCAAAATGAACAACAAAATCGCTGTTTTTGAAAAGGGTTAATAACTTTTTTATTATTTATTCAATTTTGGATGGATGACAGAGGAAATAATATCAATGATGGACGACCGTAGATCATTTAAAAAAAGACTGAACCAAACATCAACATATTAACCGACAAATACGAAAAGAGTGTCGCAAAGCTAAAGAACAGTGGCTGCTAGACAGGTGTGCAGAAATGGAGGAATTGGAAGGAAAACATGACCACTTTAACATACATAAACTCGTTAAAGAAGTGACTGGTCATACATGCAAAACCTTGCAGTTTTAACAGTATTGTGAAGGACAATAAATTAATTACTGATCCCGAGGATCTACTTCAACAATGTTGAGTGAAGACAATACAGACGCCTAAAATAGATCTTTTTAATGACATTTATAGGTTCGGTCAAATACCACAGAAGTGGCTTCAATCAACCTTTATACCAATTGTAAGAACTACATCGTTATTAGAGCTGCTGTCAATAAGTCCGATAGCGAATATGGTAGCCAACATGATATCCACGATCGATACGGTCATGAACTGGAAGAGAAGAAGAAAGCCAAACGCTAATAGTTGCGACACATTCCGAATGATCAGCTTATTGGGCCAGGTTTTAAAACTCTTCTTAAAGATAATTCACACAAGAATATGCAACAGGTGTGAAAGAGACATTAGCCCCACACAGTTCGGTTTCAGACAAGGATTTGGCACAAGAGAAGCACTTTATAGCTTAACTGTCCTACTTCAGAAATGCAGAGATCAGCCAAAAGATGTCTTCCTATGCTTTATAGATTCGAAACCAACCTTTATGACCAAACTAAATTTGATTTCTTAAACAAGGAAAGAGACTCTCTTTCCTTGTTTAAAGTGGCCTCTTAAGATGGCACTTCCTGTCTAACAATATTTTTGTCCCCACTATCTTTACATTCCCTCTTTTGTCTTTTTGCTCGATGAATTAAATATAAGAGTAAACAATAAGAACATCCAAAAGGTCCCTAAGTTTAGATATTTCGGTAGTTGGATAACTGAAGACTTAACTTAACGCCTCGATATTGCTTTGTAAAATATTACATTTACTCCATACTGCTATATGGTGTAGCAACCTAAACTATAAAGGCCAATATGATGAACCGATTGGAGGCCTTTAAAATGTGAGTATTTAAAAGACTACTTAAAATTCCCTGGACAGATCACACAACAAATGTCGAAGTATTAAATAAAATGGGCAGAGAACGAGAATTGCTGCCAATAATAAAAAGAAGAAAAACTGCTTATCTGGGTCATATATTCCGAAATTCCAAGTACCAGTTCTTAAAGCTTATTATGGAAGGGAAGATAGAAGGAAAACGGGGCATCGGAAGAAAGAAATATTAATGACTTAAAAACATAAGGGATTGGACAAACCTCGATTCCCATGCGCTCTTTGAGCCAACAGATCGAGAGGAGTGTGCCAGAATTGTGGCCAATATCCACTAATTGGATAGGGCACCATAAGAAGAAGATTCAAATTTATTTAAATGTACTATCTGTTGCAAGATAAGATTAAGAGGCTGGGCTGATATCAAGCTTTTGTACTCCCTAAGTGCTGTAACGAATAGCCACCCCTAGTCGTTCGTTACATTAAATTCTATCTAAAGTTTATAGGTACTTTACTAAATGAAACAAAGTAGGTGTAGCCAGGTACGTATTTCAATTTTGAGTTGTTAACGATTGGTAAATAAAATTTTAAGCATAATTTTGTGTACCTATTTAAATTTAATCAGTTAATTGCTTTTGTAAAGTTGGAATTCTAAATTACAAATTTCTAGGTAAGTAAAGCTAGTGTTTATAAGAGATTAGAATAAGAGATACTTAAAATACGAAACATTAATAAATTTTATTTATATAAAACGATTTCCGAAATGGAAATCAAAATGTTAAATTACACTTATTGTAAAGTAAAATTGTGACATACTCCCAATAAAAAACAGTAAGCTGCCATTTAAATCTATTTCACTCAAATTTGATTATCTTAGAACATTCTCAAATGCTAAAAAGACAACAGGTCAAATAAAACCAATAAGTTTGGCAACGTTGAACTTCCCCTTTTTTATTATTTCCGCTGATGCATTTTCGGCGATATAAAGGACGGACCTAATATACCTCTCTCTTTTTAAACAGGCGTTTCTCACTCCATCTCACGTTAGGTCCATATCGACCATAAACTTTTAACTATACTGTATATGTATTTTTCTTTTACTTTGTGGGATTGCTGTAATTTTTATAAAATGTATCAGTATATAAGTCCGACCCTGTATACAACCATACCTAGAAGATTAAATCTGAAATATCTTGCAATGAACAGTACCTGAACTTGAGGGTCTTATCGTGTTTGAATTGTGTGCGAAAGATGGGCTAGATAGATTAAATAGTTTAATTAGTTGATAAGATTTTTTGAAAAATGGGCCAATTTTCGCATACAATATTGGTAACGCATACCTTGCTACAAGATTCTACGATAACTACAATTACATACATGTCAAAATCATCAAATAAACTTACCTTGCGAAAGTTGGAAGGATTCAAGAAAACGGCGATCCTCTCTGTGGCCTTCAATAACCTTCCCGAAGTTCCAAACTCCAAATCAGTCTCTCTTATGTAACTTCTCGGCAAATCCATCAGATTATTCGTTGCGTCCATTAATATAGCTGCTATAGTTCCGACGTGTTCTTTTGGCGCATACTTCACGTAATTTTCGATAGTAGTAACGGCATATGACAAGTCGACTACATCGTTAAATATACTTTTGTTCAGAGTGTAGTTCCTGAAGTGTTTGGCACTTTCTTCTATGCTAGAATCGACCATCGAGAACTGTTCGAGGATTTTGGTGGTGTCAGAGATATACGAACACATCGATGTGTTTAGATTCGACCATTGCCCATTTTCTGAACAGGTGTAGGAAGCTATTTGATGTGTGACGTCATAATTAAGATTCAATGATTCACAGGGCATCGTTATGGTAAAATTTATAATAGCTCGTGGCCAGTTGTAGCTGCCCTTGTTGTTTCTTGTTATTGTCATGGGACAGTATTTGGTTTTATCTGATATAACGACCACCGCAATTCCTGAAAGACATACAGTATGATAAAAAAACTAAATACTAAAATTTGTACCAAATTAAAAAAATCTATTGCAAACAAAAAAAATTTACCAACCTTTTGAGTGATTCCCATGCAAAGACAAAAACTGACAATTCCAAATACCCGTATGGTTTTTTGCTAATCTAGGAACTATAAGGGTGCTAGATATCCTCCCGGCACTACCTAATAATTCATTTTCTATCCTTATATCAGAGAAATGATCTTTAGGATCGAAATCCAGCCAGGTCCAATGAATATCACTCTGAAGAGGATTCTCTAACGAATCAGAAATACTTGGCACAAAGCACTGCATTGTGAGGGAATCTCCCTCAAATACAACCTGTAAATAAGAAAACAAAAATAGGAAAATTCCGCTTTATTCCTAGGGTCCCCAAACTTAATTTCTAGATTTTTATTCAAAACAAATACTTTACCTGGTTTTCCTCAGGTTTCAATTCAATAAATGGCAATCCACTACTACCAGCAGGAGATTTACAATGGATATCATCTCCAATTATAAGTTTCTTCAATGGTCTTCCTTTAAATGTGGATGGAGACATGCATTTTGGATTCGATGATAGCTTTAGAGATTGTCTTTGTACCCAATCATGCAACCATAATAAGCTACAGTCACATACTAATGGATTACTTGATATGTCCCTGAAAAAGATAAAAGAAATCATGAATATCATGATAGGCATTAATTGCACCCTCTGTGGAGAAGAACATAAAAGAACTTTAAGATTTATTAGCTAGAACTAACAAATCTTTGGTTTTTCAATATAAATATCTACATTACAGTATTACAATAAGATCAGTTACTTCCAAGTAATTCTTTTGCATTTTAAAATAAAAATATTTGGAAAATTTCTATAAATAACAGAAAAAATACTTACAGCTGTTTTATTTTTTCAAGTGGTGCAAAGGTACCAATTGTAATAGCTGTGATCTGATTTTGATTCAATTTAAGTCTTTCCAAATGCCTTAATTTGTCAAAGGCTAACAAATCGATATGCCTGATAATATTAATAGATAAATCCAGTCTTCTTAAATTTGGAACCTCGATAAATTGATGTGCCTTAAGCTCTGCTAATTGATTTTTACTTAAATCTCTGCAAAAAAAGGTTTATTTAGCTATTTGTATATGTTGACCATTGTGTTATGAGTGTGACAAGACATAATAAGAAAATTAGACAATGAATAACTAAAAAACTAGAATTCTAGCAAGAAATATTCATAGTAATCTGTCTTGATTCACTAAAGCCAAGTCACAAAATATGTATAGAAGCATATATGAATATCATATCTACAAAAGCCACTCAATCTGGTCATTGTTGTAGTTAAAAAAATTCTAAATTCACAGAAAATTTGGGAAGTATAACTTTTCCACTTATTTTTTCTCTTTATAGTACCTATCCTAAATGTTCCATTAATGGTCTGATTGTGTTCAGCTTTCTCTTTTTATCCATAATTTATTGCAGTGCAACTTTCTTTCATTTCCTTCTGTTTTCTTCATGTCATTTCTGAGGTTACAGAATGATCCATATCATTGCCTTACTCCTAAAGGCAAAAAAGGACTTGAGAACTATCTCATTAAGCCCAACACATTCATAGGTCCTTTAAGGAGTACTTACATCTACTGTATAATCCTCATAAAACTAATAATAATACATAATGATAAACCAGAACACTTACAGTTTTTGTAGATCAGGAAGTTCAACTTTAGGCTGAAAAGATGTTAGCCCGTTTCCGGACAAATTCCTACGGAAGAAAAGCATTGCAAATAAAAACAAATAAACAATTTGAACTTGATACTTACAGTTGAATAACCTCGCTAGCTAAATTTAACAATTCCAATTCATCTAAATGAAAAACTTTTTCGCCTTCTCCACAAGACATCTTTAAACCTTCATTAGGAAGATTTTTCTTGCATATACATTTAGCTGGGCATTTTTCTTCAACGCCGAAACTACTATTTATAGATAAAATTAAAAAACACAGCAATAAATTAAGAGAACTCATTTTCTATTACAATTTCATATATTTCTATTATTATATTAAATTTTCACTAGTTTTAGCTTAATGTAGAACACATTTCCTTGATTTTCATGGTTTATATATTATTTGTGAGTATTGTGCTCATGTTTAAAATTTGTTTAATTATTGGTAAAAATTGTACAAACAATTTATGACAACGATCATTATTTTGACAGCTGGAGACGTACGTCAACTGTATTCTTCTTCCGCACTTCACATACAGGTGGCTCTTAGGCAATTATACAGAAGGCTGTTGTAAGGTGATTGTTTTTTACAATTTCGTTATGTTTAATAGCATTTTCACGTTGGGCATTATCTAATGAAACGTACATAGATATTTTGTTTTCCAAATAAATCTAATTTAATCTGGCTGTATGTATGATCTTTCGAAATATCATGTTTCTGTAAAGCACTAAATAATTCCTTTATATTATCGTAACCAAATTCACACCACGGATCTTGATGTTAATCTCTATTCGTGGAAAATAAAATGCAAGGACAACAGAAAAGTTTGTCTTTTAATTCACTCCCGGTAAGCCATGGGTACTTTGCTAGCTGTACCAATTATCGGAAAATGATCTATTACTTCCTTTATCCCCCGCACTAATATTTATAAACCGGGAAATTTCAGGCAAAGGACGCCCCTTATTTTTAATAACAATTTGTTCTTCGTATGGAATAATGGAATAGATGAAAACCCATTTTGCAAAATATAATTTACAATATCAGATTTATCAATATTTACAGTTTCTCCAATAACTCGCATTTTTTAAGTTAATTTACTTGAATTAAAAAACTTCTAATATATAAAAACAAACTAGACTCAAGAGGGATACAATGGACGTTAACCACACGCCTAAGCGATCTAGAATACGCCGACGATATCTGCCTGTTAGGACAAAGGTTCCAAGATGTGGCTGACCAATTGGAAACACTTTCCACTGAAGCCAATAAAATAGGTTTGAAAATCAATATTGGTAAAACCAAATCCATGAGAATAAATGCAAGAAACAACACGCTATTCACCATTAATAACATGCAGATTGAAAATGTGGAAAACTTTACGTATCTTGGAAGTGTCATAACAGAAAGCGGAGGTACAGAAGACGATATTCGTATGAGGCTACGAAAAGCGCAACAAGCTTTCAGCATGCTCAACCCTGTTTGGAGGTCTGGAGACTACACTACGAGGACAAAGATCCGCATATTCCAGTCAAATGTCATGTCTGTACTACTTTACGGATGTGAAACCTGGAAAGCGACAAAAACCCTTACAGACAAACTGCAGGTCTTTGTTAATAAATGTCTACGAAGAATTGTTCGTATTTTCTGGCCTAACATCATCAGAAACGAAGATTTACTACACCTAACCAAACAAAAGAGGGTAGTAAATGAAATAAAGTCCAGAAAGTGGGGTTGAATCGGTCACACACTCCGAAAAAATAATTCCAGTATTGCAAAGACTGCCCTAGAGTGGAATCCCCAAGGAAAACGAAAAAAAGGTCGCCCAGTACAAACTTGGAGAAGATCCATCATGGACGAGATAAGAAAACAAGGAAAGTCTTGGAATGAGGTGAAGGCCTTAGCGCAAAATAGAACGTGATGGCGCGTTTTCACTGAAGCTCTATGAGCTTCCAGATCATCCCAGAAAGAAAAGCCAGTCCGTGCACTAAATATCACTTCACTACTTAAGCTCTTATCCAGCCTGAAATAACATTTTATTCTGCGCTCGCAAGGTACAGTTTACGACCAATCCAAATGATGAGGCATAGACTAATTTGAATTTGCCGTACTTGGCAATTAAATACATAAGGATAGCAATGTATGGTTAGTTGCTCATCAACTAATATCCCGTTGATTTTTACATGTATATCTTCAAACGCGATCGGCTTGCCGAAACCCTGAAACGTGTCTTTTTAAGAATTCACATAGGCGGATGTATGTTTCGGATTTCGGATATAATTTGAAAATTGTCTTCCGCAAGGATCACTTTAACGCTCAGATTAGATGAATTCTTTTAAAAACCATAAATAAAATTTGTCTTTATTTTCTCACAGATATTTTATTTCACAGAAACAAATGATATCAACTTATTACCTGCCAGTGGCAGGCTGCCACAATTAATTATCCCAATACTGATTAAATTAAATAGTTAAAGAATCTATATCTATAAAGGAGTGACCGGCCGCCACTGGTATATCGCGGGTTTTGTACATAAACTTTTGGCATCTTTAGTTCTGCTTTTTAATTTTAATGTAAATATAATTAAACATTCTCATTGTTTATTGAGCCCAGTTTCACTTAAAATCTGTATCAAGCATTTATGTCTTATATTGGCAAATGCTGTCTCATCATCAATGAAGTAAATATATAATAACAAAGTAGATATATCAAATACAAGGCATAATATACTTACATATAAAAAAATCAAACCACAAAAGTATAAAAATTTATTTCTTAAATGTAGATATTGTTTATTTGATTGCTACTAAACCATAACATCTTGGAGAAACAACAGGATCAAAAACTTGGGCAAGATATGCCTGTTCAATACCCAATTCATATAAATATAGCAGCCTATCCATTAAAATAATGCTTTCAATTATTGGCGACAGCATATTTCTTATCAAATAAAAAATATACAATTCATACTCCTTTTGCTTATACAGATGAAACAGCTCTTCAAGTTCTGCATCACTCACATCCGTGCATGGCACATTTAATTTTTTAAAAGCTTCTCTGGCATATTGCACAAAGTTTTCACACTTTTTTCTAATTTTCCCCACATGTCTTTTATCAGGATCCAAACCGTTGAATCTTTTCTCCAGGATCACTTCCAGTAAGGCTCTATAAAATATTGTGTCTTTCGGCAATTCCCCCTTATCTAAAATCCTTTCCATTGACTGAGCTGCTATCATTCTTCCAGCTCTTCCTATCTTGTATCGCTCACTTATTAAATAATTACTAATTGGAAACCCCCTGTCTTCTTCATTTCCAGCATTATACATATCATCTTCAAAACGTTCTGACAGCAAATGGTAGCAGCACCCTACATTACAAATTGTTTTCATACTCAAGTTAGTAGCAAACACTCTTAAAGAAGTTGCAGCTAAGTTCCCACAAGTATGTAGTCCCACAATACCTAAACCATTAGGTTTTTCTAAAAAAACATCTGATACAAGCTCCACGAAATCAATATTATTATCAACAAACTTCGTTACTTGTTTGTACAGATCTGAGGTAACCTGTACTTTACTTTTTACTTCCTTCTGTGGTGATGCAACAGCATTCCATACTCTAGATAGTTTCTTTACTCGAGTTACAGCACCCGTTGTATTTATTACAGAAGCATCAATGCCTAGGACCGGTATTTTGTGATGTAGAGCTAGCATTGAACTAAGATAACCTTTTCCATCACCTATGTCAATTAAATGTGTTGTTCCTGATATATTATTCAGAGCAGCCGCAATGTAACTTAAAATATCTACTTCATGAGATTTTTTTGAAGTCATAAAAATGTCTAACTTTAGTCTGATTGGATCAGAGCAACCTAAAGATTGTAATTTTTCCTGTAGATCATCAATTTTGAGGCAAACTTCCATATTTTTTAAAGTAAATTGTTTTGATTTCTTGTTAAATATGCCAAGATTTGGTAATTCTGTATAATTATCATTAAATATGCAACTGACAACTTCTTTATAGCCTATCTGTTGTATATCTTCTTGAATTTTAATTGGAATATACTTTACAAATGCATTATTTATAAAATAATCAACCATATGAAAATTTGCTAAAGGTAGAAATGGCTCTAAATAGTCTGTAAGCTGTTTAATGTGATCTTTTAAAACCCTAGTGGTGTTCATTTTCAAAACGACATATTACTTTTCCCTGGATAGCTAATATTAACTCTCAGCTGTGCACAAACCTTCTTAAATTGTGCCCTAATTGTATCAAGCGCTTCAAACACATCAAATTCTGCAGAATTGCTTTGAGGAAATTCTGATAAAATTATTTTTAAATTTTCTAAAGAACTTCTTGGTTTTGAAAACTTTTCATCTGTACTTTTGGAATACAGTTCTAAATACTTGTCTACAACACCTAGATAAAAACCAATCTCTGCACCTATTTCTGACCCTCTGTGGAATCCTAAATGGTATCCTTCCTTGTTACCTTGCTGTACACCTATGTTGAAACCTTCTTCATATGCTTCTTCTATCACATTTTCTTCAAACAGCAGTATATCGTCAAAAATTTCGTTTATGTCTTTATCTAAAAAATAATCGACATTTAACACATATCCAACATTGTTATAAATTAGAGAAATGAAAGGATTTTATACCTTTAATATTATCGTACATTATTAAACAGATCTTATGTTCATGCTTAGTGTGCTTTTATGGTAATGAGAACCAATAAGTTTTGTATTTGTATAATGTAAGTAGAATAAATGATAAAACTTTTAACTTTTATACAATTAGAATTCCAACAAATCTAACAGAGGTTAGAATATTCTTCTTTCCAAAAAACAACGAACAGGGAAGTTTATAAACAGAATTTTCTTGAAATGTCAGGACGATTTTCACATTTGGTCCCATTGAAGATAGCCATATAGAGAAATAAAAATAGATAGCTTCAAATTGGTTTGACAGAATGAAATATTGGTTTTTCGCAGTGTTGAAATTTACATTACAAATGAAATATACACAATTAAAAGCAATAAGATATTTAAAAACTAATATGTAAAGATTACGAAAAAAAGAAAAAGTAAATAGTTTTAAAACATTTTTTAACAGTAAATAGTAAAATGTCAGTATAAATAATAAAATTTAAAAGGCATCTGTTGCAATCTGGCAGCTGGTGGTTTGAGGGTTCTGACTATATTGCCAAATCTATCCGCTAACCTATCAAAGGGCAACTGCCAAAAAAAATTTCTAATAATTTATTACAACTAATATCAAACGAAACAAACATTACTTCATTAATATTTTATATAAGGTATAAAATTGTAGAATCCATAAAATAATATGTTAAAAATGTACCTTTTAAAAGCTTTATCTCTTTGTATTTAAAGCATATAACATATACATTATAAGAACATGGCAACACTGCTAACTCAATATTTCGTTCTATGAAACTTAATTGACAGCTAATTTGATAATGGAATACTATTATGGAAATATTATTAAAAAATATATTTGTATAAAAAAATAATCTTACTTAATTTAAACTAATCATTTTTTTATTGCTGGAATTGAATTAACCATCGAGCAAAAAGACAGGAATTGACTACATTGAATCGTCACTTTTCCCTTCTGAATCCAAACCAATCCAACATCACTTCACGATAAAATTCTCAAAGTAATTTCGATTTGAATAATAACAACAAATACATCTATCTATTATTACAATCACGCATCGTTTCACGATACTGTGTTTGTGTAGTGTATCGTGCATGTTGTATTTATTAAATTACATTTGATTCCTTTCCTACAGTTCCTACATAAGCCCATAGAGAAATAAAAATAAGCAAATTTTTATATATAAGCTTATTTTTATTTCTCTATGCATAAGCGCTAAAATCAGATTTCAATTCAACCATATACACGACTACACTACAACTACAATTAATGCAAATTGAAATAATATGACTAAATTAAATTGCTGCACATTGCACGATTTGTTCTTCATGGTTGTAGAATTTTTGTTTTCATTATTTAAAAAGCCCAACAATCGTTGGGCACAAAAAATTGGTTATAGACTCATTTGAGTTGTTCCCCTCCACGGAAATCTTTAGTAAAAGGCGAAAGATTTATTCGCTCTGAAGGGAAACCAGAGTACATTTATTTCTGTTGCGTGTAAACTACTGGACGAATGTTACGGTAGCACGTACAGTACAAAACTGTCGCCATCTCACGGAGACAAGCCTAAGTAATTTAAAAATTATATTTGTGGGAAAGGGTTTTATCAATTATTATTTATTTATTATAGACGCATATTTGGTTTTATGGTATTAATGGATCATGGTAATTAATATTTAACTATGGAAGTAAAATACAAAATTCGATACATAAAGAATCAAAACTTAAATAATGAAGAAAGAAAAAATTCAAATTATTCTGTCTTCACATGTGTATTATGACGATTTTTTTCGAAGTCCGCTTACATCTCTCTTACCTTTTGGATTTTAAATGTGTGATATCCTTTTACCCTATGACGGCCGATATTACTTAAGATATGATCAGTGGGCCTCAAACAATATTTAATTCCGATCGCTTGAAAAGTAAAAATATTTAATTTCCTGTATTTTATGTTCAGTAATAGTATTGGATTTTACTGTATCAAAGGCAAATAAAGTGAGTATAATATGTATATACAGGGCGTGTTAAAAGAAGTGGGACGGAATATTTCGAATACTCGAAATTATTTGTCGACATCAAATGTTCATCAAGATCTCTATAAGTCTCTATATGACCATTATTATGAATCCCTTCAGCCTGACCAAAATAAAGAAGATGGTGAAGCAGAATTGCTGGAGTAACATAATTCTAGTTGGTTCATGTAGGTATATCAAAAAGTGTTTTTTTATTTTTGTCATGGTATGACAAGTATGGTATATTTATAAAAAATGTTAATTATGTGTTTTAGAGCACACCAATGCAAATTTTATGTTTCTTTGTAGTTTGTATTATATATTATTACATATTTGTTTCAATTAAACCAGTCAAATGTAGAATAAATATGTTTCTGATTTTATAGTTTTTATTTAAACTTTTACACTGATTTACTCCAGATCACCATTTTGTGGCTTATCATTATAATTATAACAATAAGCCCTTCAATTGTATTTACTTTTGGAGTAAAAAAAGTAGTAGTAATCAGCCTTAACTGTATATTTTACTGATTCGTTTCATTTAAAAGTTTTAACAAGGAATACTGCAAGTTCCCTGATTAATAAAATAAAATCATTTAAGTTTATATGTTCCATAGTCGTTTGGTACAATATTTTATTAAAAATAAATGTAGTTAGCAAAATCATGCAAAAAGCTGACGTTATTTTACCAGAAGGTGTATAAATGTATGACCAAGAAGACAAAAAAGACGTTTTATGAATAAGAACATAAAGAAGAGCCAATTCAATCTCCAGAATTACATTTTAAAGTAAATTTTATTTTTATACTCTTGATATTGCCTTCTTAAAATTAGATGAGAGATTTCAAGATTTAGAAATACCTACATGTTGAATCCTTTGGTTTTTTCAAAAGAGGAAATAATGAAATATTGTACCAATTTAGAAACTAAACTAACTGACCCAGAAACAAAAAAATTAGATATAAATGCAATATAAATGGTAATACAATTATTGCCAACATGAAGAATCTACTAAGCTGGCAGTTCAACCAAGTGCTGAAATATTTTAAAGACATTAAATTTTACAGTGTTTAATAGAATATATTGAAGTTATACATATACACATTGTAAGAAATTAAATACTTGTAATTTGTGTTTGTACCCCCTGCTAATAACTCTTAGTAGTTGATGCAGGGTCATTTTTGTTTAAATAAAAAAAATAATAATGTCGGCCAAAGAAGTGTTAGCCAATCTCGTTGCTAACGGGTTAAAAGGAATATTTCCTACTTATTAGTTCCTCTTAGAATATTTTTAACTATGCCAGTCACTGTAGCTCATGGGGAGCGATCATTTTCAAAACTTAAATTATAAAATATTGGTTTTAATTTAGATGTGACTGACCTAATTAGGAGATTTGCACTTAAAAAGTCAAGAAAAGTCGATTTTAGTTCGAAGTGTTATCTTATTAGTGTTGTATTTCTTTTTTCTTTATTTTTCATAAAATAACTATGTAGATTTTTGTATTTTGGTTATAAAAAATTATATTTATGTATGTATTAGACATGCAGTGTTTTATAAGAGATAATGTATCTTGGGGGATTTGATGTTTAGAGTCCAAGATGGAAATTGTTACATCGATGGGAATTGTTGGATAAAGAAACAATGTCAAAACTAACTAGTATATCTGAGGGTGAGATAGAAATATTTTTCAGAAGATCAATAAAATGAAAAGAGTTTTTGACAAAAGACGAAGCTTTTTCGGCTAATGGTTGTAAGGATAAAGCGAGATGATTTGCCAATTTCTGAGTGGGGTTGCACTGACGATAGGCCTTAGAGGAACATTGGACTTATGGAAGGCCGTATATCTTTGGAATTCGAGATGACTTTTCTCTGGTTATAAGAGATGTTTTGATGTCTGGAGGT